TCCTGCATAAGACAGTAGGAACTGTCCTGGGAATGTCACATCTTAAAAATAAATTTTAAAAAAATGCACAAAGCTGGAACAAAAGGTATGTCAGAATAAGAAACAACTATCCCATATCTTTGATTTGGTAAGGTGTACTTGGTGCATTGTGGGTAACACATCATTCACTGGAAAGCTGCTTAACTTTCAAAACTACAAAGGACCCTATCCTTTCTTCTTATTTAAATATAAAATGCTTCAAAATGACTAGTAAGATCTAGATAAAAATTGTAAAAATTCCCCAAACCATATAATCATAGATCTATTACTTTAATATGCATGATTTATATTTACTGTGTATCTGAATTAGTGAAATGATCTCAGGAAATGGTGAGAAAACAAAACGAAACAGGAACACTGGCTACCTGTGAGTGACAATTTCCTTAACTCTTCCCCCAACATTCCAGTTAGTTCCTTTTTCCTTTTCTTACTCTCATCCAATCTTCTGAGTATTCTGAAGGTATTCATACCTTTCCTCAGTCTTTCACAAGACATGTCCTTCTTGAAGCAGTTTAATCATACTGGACTTCTTTTAAAAGAAAGGAGGAAGAGGAAAAACAGGAATAAAGTCCTATGTCTAAATTATGCAAGGCTCTACTCAAGAGACGCTCCATGGTCATCTACACCTGCATATTCCAGTATCACCTTCTCTTCATTTTTATTTTCTTTTTCTACTTCTGATAGTTATAGCAGAAATAATAAGAGCTGAATGTCTTTCAAGCTTACCCTGAAACAACAGAGCTGCTAAATTAAAAAATCTTAATGAGTAAAAGAGTTTTGTGTGACAGCTTCATTTTCAGATTACAATTGTGAAGTCCTCTAATTAGGAAAATAATCAAAAGAAATAACTGAAAGCTGCAAACACACAAAAGCATCATTCAAAATTCAAATGTAGCATTGAAGATGAAAGCAAGCAAAACTAAACCCCTTGTGCAACTCTAGTTATTTTTGTTTGTTTACATGCATTGCAATATAGTCTTAGCCATATGCATTTACTATGTAAAATGGCTTTTCACAAAATATTCCTTTTTGATGCATTCATGATCACACTCAGGAGCTGAAAAGATTTCAGTACTGTCTCCATCCCTGTATTTCAGTCTTGGGACTTGACGTACTCCCAACTCTTCAAGTATGACTTTGGACCGTTCACTACAGCAGAAAATGGCTGTTTACTTTTACAATTCCTTGGAACTCTTCCCCAGCCCTCAGTGAGGTAAGGAGGATAATATCACCTTATTTACTTACTGATAAGCAAGTCCTGGAAAGATTAGGTTCAGAAGTGTCTAGTAAATGAGTGCCGAACTGAAATGTCAAGGACCTGTTAACCTGGAAGTAGAGCATTTATAAAACACTTCAGGACTCGAAGACTAGTTTCTGCTCATATTGGTGCTCATCATTTTTGCAAATCAGACTTCAGAGCGACATGAGTGTTTAGTTAGCAAAACCGCAATCACACTAAAGCGTTTTGCTTACTATCAGCAAGATTACTATCTAGAAAATTAATCTCAAGTTTTCTATCAGTCTGGTTTCTTCCATACCCAAGGGAATTAAGAGTTTGTATTGGCCAACCTGGAGGTTTCCAGCAGATTTGCCTCCAGGCTATTTCACAGCTGCACGAGATGTAAGGGCCTTTCCAAGCACACCCGGGTGGAACAGCAGCAGGTGAGCAAGAGTACTGTACCGAATCAGGCCAAAGAGCTTCTGGCATCTACTACTGCGTCCAAAAGCGCAGCTTAGGGGAAAATGTATTGCTGCTTTCTCCAAATAGTCTTCCAGACACCAACTTGTGTCTCATGGGTTTCCCAAAGGAGCAGTGATGTCTGTATTTTTAGCTCTGAGTGGATTTCCATCCTGTGACAGCATCTACAATATCTTGTGGCAAAGACCTCTGCAGCTTAACTACACAGTCTTTACACAAACAAACAAAAAACTCCAACCAAACATCACTCAATTTTGTTTGCTCTGATCTAGCCACTTCAACTGATTTTTAAGTCTTATACTGGAACAGGTAGGTAACAGTTATCTCTCTAGCTTTTTACAGCTATTTTTCAGTTTTACAGACCATTACCACATTCTTTTTGATGGGCCTGCAGAATGGAAAGGTGGAGCTGCCTAGAAAACAGCTCATCTGGCTACAAATCAGTTTTAAACTTTTTCAACATGGAAGACTCAAAGCAACTACAAATGACAGAACTGAGGAAAGAAAAGCTCCTTCCCTACCCATGCCATTTTTCAGTGCGGTTCTTACATCCTTGCTTAGTTGCAGCTAATGCTACAACTTTCTGAATTGCAGGAGGCTTTGATCAGTCCTCTCTGTCCCTTTTAAGTTCCTTCATGACATCTCTGAGGCCTCACCTCGCATGACTGATCCCTGCTCTTCTCAGCAACCCCTTTGCTTGAGCTGCCACCTCCCAGCCTTGCTCTCACTTCTCACATCCAGCACTTTCTGAAATTTTCCCTCCCGTCAGCTCCACTGATTCCTCGACAGAAGGAATATCCCCTTCTTCCAGCCTCATTATTTCTGAAAGGAACATGAAAGCATTTGATTTTGCAATCAAAAATAAAAAATACTATTGATCACACTCTACTCTTGGTCAGCTCATTCAGCTTTCAAAGTCCTATTTTGCTCACTTGTTTCATGCATGTAACCTGTTGCATGCCCTGAAACATACTCGTGGTTCTTTTCCAAACTCTTCCCATGTTTACTACTGATTGTAGTGATTTAAGGTGGGAGAGACCAGAAAGGAAGACCGTTATTCCTGCGGAGGGCATACCAGTGATTTACACATTTTGATGCTTTTTGAGAGTTGCTCCTCATGCTCTCTTGGCCCTGGTCACCACATTTCTACACATCACTTTCCAGAGTGCATGGGATGCTTTTTAAATTTTTTTTAAATCACTTTAAGAATCAATCCTTCTTACTTCCATTCATCTCCATTACCCTGTTCTTCAACTAAGGAGACCTCTTCTAAACCTTTCTCAAAACTTCCTTCATAGCTGGTAAGTAATGACTCTCTTTACTGTCAGACATTAAGATACGCCAAAGGATGTGCTGGCACACAGATTGGATGCCTGACATATTGCTTGATCAGGGATTCTTACCAGTTTTGCTCTTGCTGAGTACAGTTTTGAACTGAACATGTACCGTAACTCTCAATTAAGTGTCCTTTCCCCCCAGTAGAGTCATCTGTGTGAAGTTTTCCTTTTACAGGCAGGCACCAAAGACTTCAGAAGAAGTTATCAGCAAGAGAAGAAAAATAAAAGCGATGTCCTTGCCTGATGCAAGGAAGTAGCCTTACTGAGTAGCTGAGAGGATCCGAAATTGTGTCCGATGCACTGTTCTACATACTCAGATACTGAAGATGCTCAAGGGCTTTAGCAGGCGGGTGAAAGGCAGCGTGCTGTCCACGTGGAGTGCAAGGGGGATGATCTGGCATTGCGTGCTAGATGGTGTACCCCACCCAGCTGCAAGCTTCCCAAGATTTTCATTATTCAGCCTGTGGCATGCTTTAGCTGGTCGACCAGCTCCAGAACTACTCACAGTCACTGCAGCCTTCTATGTCTCTCCTCATCTAAAAGGAGAGTGAGATGGTGCTTTCAATGTATGACTATGTTCCAGTCATTCAGCTATGAATGAGTCTCACTTCTAATAACGCAGATGAAAAAATAATGTACACCATACTGTAACTTAAAAGACATCCTAAAAAACCTCAAATGTCTCATAGCAAAAAATCACACTCCAAAAAGAACATGTAGTTTTAGTTCGTATTTCTGGAAGGAATGGAAAGTCTAGCATTGTATTTTTTGTAGATGGTTTATGCTGGTATTACTTTCAGCATGCATTTAAAATGTACCATCATTGTCAAAGGCATAGTTAGGATTAAAACTAATTTGAAATGCATGTTTCTGCTACTGAAAAAAATTG